TTCGTTATTTTATAGTATTATATAAAAACAAATTATTATCATAGATGTCATCATTTGTATATTAACATTAATTATATTTTTTTTATGTGTTTCATCTCTTTCACAACATCTTTGAATATGTTACAACTATACATTCATTAGCGTATAAGTATTCATGATTCTTCGAAGGAGCAATTCCCGTACAGAAATGAAACATGGTAAGTGGAGGTTCGAATTCGGATGGGTAACTGCGCATGAGTGCATCATAAAATTAGTTCTCGAAGTTTATAAAATAAATTTTTTTTTATTATAATTTTGTTGTGTATCCTCTGAAATATTATATGATACTAATCAATAATATTTATTTTCACAATAAAATTTCAATGAAATTTTCTCCACTATTACACTATTAGTGACACTATTGTCGAATTTACTTATTGCATTAGTGACACTAGTAGTATATTTTTATACTAACTAGCTTAATTCAAGATTTTATTTTCAATTCGAAAATTAATCGAAATTGGAGCCAAAAATCCATCGAAATCAATAGAAATTTCGAAAACTTTCAACTTTTATTTTCAAAACGACGTCTTTTCGAGAAATTATTTCTGATTGGGATCCTTCTTTTCATCTTTTACGCCCGTATTCATAGTCAGATCTTGTACTTAAGGCTTCTTTAAATTTATCTTTAGATGATCAGTAGCCAAAATAATTCGTAGAGTATCTGAAGATAAATTTAAGGAAGCCTTAAATATAATAAGGCCTGAATGAAGACTATGAATACGGGCATTAGTCTTAGGGTAAAATTTCGAAGTGCTGAAATACATAAATACGAAGCTACATGATTTTTAACAACTTAGAAGCTATAACCTATAACAACCGACCTTCTCAGCTTAGCGGCGGAGTGGCAACAAAGCAAGGAGGAAAGGAGTAAAAATGGCGAATATGCGAATACTCACATTTAGTGTTATTAGTTTAAACAGAGAAAACTGTCCTACAAACGCATAGTTAATTAATACACTGAGGTGTGTTCGGATTCCTACTTGTTCTTCGGGTGTTCTTCGGGTGTTCCAGATGTTATGTCATTCTTGTTTAACATTCATAAATAACAAAAATGGAGTGATACCTAGGTAGCACTCGGGTGGAAATTTGATATAAAAAATTTTTTATGCATGAATGTGTATAAATATGTATAAACATACATAAACATACATAAATATTCATAAATATGTACAATTATATATGTATAATTATGAAATTGTTGAAATTAATCGTTAGAATTAATTAATGCTTTACATATTTTGGTTTTTTATATGTTTTTCTTTTGTAATATCATTTAGATTTAAATTGCATTATTCATATCTCGCGCCTTCACGATCCACATGTATACCGATTCATACGAGGACGTGTTATCTTTTTTATTCGCCAACACCGTATCACCACTGAGTGTCACTTCGTTCTTCTTATGAATGACTCGCCATTAAGCAAATGTAGCAACTACGTGCGTTTTTTTTTAATAAAAGCGATCCATATAAAGAAGTGTCGTCATTATTGCTTGCATCCATATTCCTAATCTCTCAACAGATTATGGGCCCAAGCAAATTTGCGATTTGCGATCGCGGAAAGAAAGTGCTCATGAAAATTTGATCATTGAGTTAACCCTCTTCGAGAGTCAAGGCAGCGACACGCCACATTTTTTTCACCTCGCAACGCCACACACGTGGTGGAGAATCTCTCTCTCTACATCTTGTGCACAGAAGTTTAACTTTTTCGTGAATACTCTACACGTTCTTTCGTACAAAGGCATACATCACGATGTTGGAAATAATCGACCTCAAGAATGTGACAAAGTTCGACGACACAAATTTCCAATTATAGAAATTCCAGATAAAAACCATTCTAATGATAAGTGGCCTGATGAACGTGACAAACGCAACGCTCCCGAAACCAGAGCTAACAACGGCTGACTATGCAACGTGGAATATTAGAAATGCCAAGGCTATGTGTATCCTATCGTCAGCAGTGGAATATTCGCAACTCGAATATTTATAGTAACATGCGAAACTGTGGCAGAGATGTGGGAAAGCTGATCTCCATCCACGAACAGAAAAGTGCTGCCAATAAGCTTACTCTTATGACAAAATTCCACGAATATAAGATGGTTTCGATTCAGTGACACA